TGATGGCATGAAAAAGGCCAATGGGACACATCGTGTTTGATGAAACGAATTTTAGTATTAAGAAGACCCATAGCTACTCTTTTTGTTCTTTTTCTTTTTGCGTAGTTTAGTTAGTTTAGTTCATTTATTATGCACCCCATACCCATCTTGTGGGCGGTAGTGGAAAGGGTTACAGAGGCACATAATGGGCTCAGGGACTGAACCCCACAATTCATTTAGCTAAGCAAGTTACAATCTTGATGAGCTAGTTACAAAATTCAATATAAGTCGTCACATCAACAATGGGTTCGAAATCGACCACAAGTACAGTTTCTAAATTAAGCAACTGACATATGTGGAGAGCTAGTGTCACAATTGATATGTTTGTCCTGCACACCGCCCCCCATCCAGTGGGCAGCGGTGGATAGGTTACAATAACTTGGATACTACCTACAGTTTGCAAACTGGGGATAATTGGCTAAAATTTCTGGTAGCAGATCATTTTGAATGAAATATTTACACATCGCTGGAACATTGGTTATAGAATTGTCTCTAAATTCACGTATCTTGTCGCACTCCATCACATAGTGACGGAGGGTGTGCGAATAATTTTGTTGACACATTTACATTTGGTCAGGTCTACATCGGCAGATAATGAGAATTCCCAGAGATACTTCAGATTCAGATTCAGATGTTTATTCAGGTAAGGTATATACATACAAGTGATGTTACATTAATGGATTGATATATAGATAGAGCTAGTACATACAATGCCTAAAGCCACTATTACGCAATGCGTTTCGGGCAAAACTTGTAACCGAGTCTAAGCCGAGCAGTAGTAACCTCTAGAAGTCTGCTGATTTTATGAGCAATCTGAGAGCAGCAGTACACCGAGAACTTCAACAAGATCTTGTAGATCTGAGGCAACGTGAAATTGACACCAGTAATTCCATCTATCATCATACTATCATGCAAGAGGAACCACACATCTATGGATCATCCAATAAAATCAGCTTTGCGTAATAGTGGCTTTAGGCATTGTATGTACTAGCTCTATCTATAACTCCATCAACTTTTGTATTTCACCTTGTATGTATGTACTTTACCTGAATAAATATTTGTATTTGTATTTTGTTGTGTTAAGTGAAATTGCAAGCAAGAGCTGTTATCCTACCTCAGCTCATCTGAAGGCTGCTCCTAGAAACTCATTTATTTCATGAGAATGTACTTTGAAACTATTACATAGGGGACTATCATATAAGGAACCTGGTGAAACTGCAAGCAAGAGCTCTCATACTACCTCAACTAAGTTGAAACCTACTTCTAGAGACCAATTTATTTCATGAGCCTATTATATGCATCAGTAGGAATAGACTTTATTCATTAACAACATTAGGTAACCATCATATAAGGAACAGGATGAGCCTGTAACCAACTGTGCGTTGTGCCAGAGCCTTGATGTGATCAGTTGACCTGATCTCCCGTGTATCAACCTGTTGAGCGAACAAGTTCCAGATGCGAGTCAGCCTCGGATTGAATGATCGTTGATGAAGTGATGTTCTTGACAAAGGCACTTCCAGCATGATACTATTGAAGGTTGAGAGTCTAGTGCTACGGGTGGCAACTATACTGGTAGTCCACGGAGTTGGGCCAGGTGCGGAACTTTGAAGTGCTACTGGGATGTTACACTCACTCACTCTCTCTCTCTCTCTCTCTCTCTCTCTCTCTCTCTCTCTCTCTCTCTCTCTCTCTCTCTCTCTCTCTCTCTCTCTCTCTCTCTCTCTCTCTCTCTCTCTCTCTCTCTCTCTCTCTCTCTCTCTCTCTCTCTCTCTCTCTCTCTCTCTCTCTCTCTCTCTCTCTCTCTCTCTCTCTCTATATATATATATATATATATATATATATATATATATATATATATATATATATATATATATATATATATATATATATATATATATATATATAACTGAAAACTCACACCCCAGAAGTGACTCGAACCCATACTCCCAGAAGCTCCCTTGCTTCTGGGAGTATGGGTTCGAGTCACTTCTGGGGTGTGAGTTTTCAGTTGCATATTGTCCTGGGGACCATTCAGGCTTGTTCGCATATATATATATATATATAGTGTGATGTAATGACATACTTTCTGAAAAAAAGCAAAGCCTCCCACGTTTGTTTGTGCGGGAAAAGGGGCGAATCCTAGTCACCTCCATATCGCTCGGGGCTGTGTTGGCCTTTTCAGCCGGCCGGGTCACCCTCTTAGAAGACAGCTCTCCACCACTTTAAACAGGTATTTCGCGATTGTTTCCCCTCCTCCTTACCTGTTGTATTTACTCTTCGCCTTTAATAGGCTCTTGCACGAGGGAGACGCTCCCGCCGGGCCCTAATCACACCTCCTTTTGCAAGCCATGGAAATTGGATTTGGGGATTGGGTCTTTCAGTACTATAGGTGGTTTCGTTCTCGACTCACAGAGATACCTATTGTAGGTAGTGTATGTACATGACTGTAAACTTTCCACCGTCGCCCATTGAATGGGTGTGGGGTGTATGATTGAAAATGTAACTGGCTCACCACAGATACAAATTGCTCAGTTTAAAGACTGTTCCAGTTCTTGAACAAACTGTGCTACAAAAAAGTTATTGATATATATGTTAAATATGTAACTATATCAGGCTGTAGCTTTCTTAGCTTAATGAGTTTAGGGTTCAGTTTCTAAGCCCATTATATGTGCTTCTAACCTTTTCCACTAGCGTTCACGGGATGGGTATATATGCATACTAAAATTACTGCAAAAAATGCACTTTAACAAATGTAAACAAAAAAAAGTTTAAAGTTAAACATTCCTTCGTGTACTGTTTATTAATCAAATTTACTCTATACCATGAAGTTTTCAATCTTTCCAGAAAGGCTAAATGTAGAATCAAGTATAGTAGTCTGTGAAAGGAATAGCCTATTAAGTACGCAACTAAAATTACGATTAGATAAATTGCAAAAAGCAGTAAAAGTATGATATAATCACAGGTTGTGTAGTTTTACACAAGTAACATTATACCCCAGCACCTGTAAAAATATACCAGGCAAATAATTCAGATGTAAGTGCAGTGTGTACCTGTACAGCACCTCAGGGAAGAGCCCGCATGGATGATGAGTGAGGTGCGGGTCGGCTCGATTTCCATGTTGGATAATACGACCATTTCCTATTTATTATTTATTTATATATGTACAAGAGGGTACATTGGGTTGTGAAAGTACATAGGGTGGTGATAAAGTGGTACATTCTTGCAAAACCACTAATACGCATATGTGCGTGTTAGTGGCTTTGTAAAAACACTCAAATCCCATTGTACAGACTTTCCCAACCCAATATACCTTCTTGTATGTAAGGAAATAAATAATTATAAATAAAAAAAAGTATTGTGCACCGCATACAGCGATAGTCTTTTGTGCATCCTTGCATCCTATACTCATCCTGTGAGTGGTTGTTTATTGCACTTCTCATATACGTCCTGTGACCGGTAGTTTATTGTGCACCCCATACTCATTCCATGAATGGTAGTTTAATGTGCACCCCATACTCATTCCATGAATGGTAGTTTAATGTACACCCCATACTCATCCCGTGAATGGTAGTTTAATGTGCACCCCATACTCATCCTGTGAATGGTAGTTTAATGTGCACCCCATACTCATCCTGTGAATGGTAGTTTAATGTGCACCCCATACTCATCCTGTGAATGGTAGTTTATTGTTCACCCCATATTCATCCTGTGAATGGTAGTTTATTGTGCACCTCATACTGAACCTGTGAATGGTAGTTTATTGTGCACCCCATACTCATCCTGTGAATGGTAGTTTAATGTGCACCCCATACTCATCCTGTGAATGGTAGTTTATTATGCATCTCATACTCATCCTGTGACTGTTAGTTTATTGTGCACCCCATACTCATCTTGTGAGTGGTAGTTTATTGTGCATCCCAGCCTCATTCTGTGAGCGGTAGCGCAAAAAGGATTACAGAAGGCGCAAAATATATAATCAGATCTCAGCGGAGATTATTACAAGTTTTTTTCTTTACAATATATGTGTATTTGCAATAAATTATTATACATTGAAGTTAGGTCCTTTGCTAATATAAAAAATATTTTAGATCATACTATATAACAGGATATTATATAGTATAAAAACAGTTCAGAGCTGTTTTTATTATTATTACTCTTCACACCACACAGCTTATGTATTAGTCTCATATATGTCATTTATGTTCTAGAAGCGAAATATGGATATAGAGCAAGGAATTCAGATGTTTTATTGTTTGTAATAAGATGTTTTACGAGTTCGTTTAAATAAATCTGTAAATGGCTCAAGTTTATTCACTCTCAAATGTAATGTTCTAGTGTGCTCTAGTTCACACACTTAACATTTTATTATGGAGGTCAGAGATTCATCCTGTGTGTGGCACTCTCGCGATAATTAATACTGTACTGTACTGGCCCCTCCACTCAGTGTAGATATTCTCGCTTCATGCATGTCTGCGTTCAATCCCCGACCGTCCAAGTGGTTGGACATCATTCCTCTAACCCCCCCCCCCGGTCCCATCCCAGATCCTTATCCTGATTCCTTCCAAGAGCTATATAATCGTACTGGATTGACGCTTTCTCCTGATAGTTACAGTGTAGATATGGAGTGATATGCCTCCATGCTCCATCTCTGGGGTCTCTACTCTATTTCCTGCCACTCCATTAACATGTCAGCATGGCCCTTGTGAACTAGCGTGGCTCTTCAGCACATGCCTCTGGCATATGGCACCTCACCAACCCTACGTCAACACAATGCAACTTTCTGGAAATAGCGCTGCACTTCTACGTAGTGAACACTGAAATGCTTATTGGCACCATGCTGAAATCGTGGCAGAATGGTGTTAACAGTGAATGTAACACTGATTTTGAATTTGTAAACAGTGATAAATTGTCCATGCTGAAAGAGGGAGCCTCGTGAGGATGGTTGTTGGGGACTGACTTACCGGTTGGCAGGTCCTGACTGTGTCGGCGCCGGTGCAGTCCAGGAGGGCGAGAGCTATCACACCCAAGAGCCTCATGGCGAAGTGCCTCCAATGCCTGCCTTACAACTCACTAGCTTCACCAGCTGCGCTTAAGATGGTAGCACCCAGAGCCCACCTTCATCGCCACACTCACTTGTTTCCCCCCGTTATCGCCCACAACGCCCCTTAATAGGTCGTTTCCTAAACCCTCTTCACACGCGGTCTTGACCTTTTGTATTTCAAGTTCTGTAGGGCAGTAGCTACTGATAATAGGAGCGAGGGGAAGCCTTGCTCATCGGTGCACGGGAAACTGGCTCTGACACAGCGGCGGAGATATTCAGTGGGACATGTTCGGCAACCTGCTCGTGCGCGCGCCGGGACTGATCTCGGATCGATGTCGCCACGGCTGCTGCTCTCCCATACTCCCCTATATTTCTCATGGTCAATTTGCAATGAATCATTCTGCAATCCACACGAGGTTGTACTAATGGAATGGGTACCTTGTCATCAACTGGGACACCTGCAGTACTGTACTTTCAAAGCCCTTCTGGGCGAATCTCAAACTCCTGCCGTATTTATATATATTTAGGGAAACTGTATTAGCTTTTCCCAGTGGAAAAGCTTGCAAATTCCTATTCATGAAATGAAGGATAATCTATGGTTCACCACATAGGTTCAATATGTCCGGGTACTGGAAACTACTGCATTTTAAATCACATTAACATGTCAGCATGGATGTCAAAGCGTTTCATGCCCGAAACGCTTTGCGTAATAGTGGCTTTAGGCATTGTATGTACTAGCTCTACCTATAAGTCAAACAATCCTTGTAAATATTTATTGTATGTATGTACCTTACCTAAATAAAATTGTATTGTAATTGTAAATTGTATTGTACATCATATGGGCGTGTGCTTGTTCGCACACAAATATTATATACTATTGTAAACGTCATTAACTATAGTGCATGTAACTCAATGAATGAGAAGCAACATGTGTAAGTGCAATTATAAAATATCAAGTATATGCATCTATATGTCCAATCAACCTACCTTAAAGCGCAGATCACGGCTTTTTAATTTAGTTCGGTTTATTTATAATGTACCCTGGCCATACATACCCCTGCCTGTGAGAGGACCACATATCCTTCCTGTGAACGGTACTGGATCCCATATCTGTCATGTGAGTGATACTGGATCTCATACTGATCACGTGTGTAGTAGTAGATCACATGTGGATCAATACCCATCATATGTAAGTAGTAATGGATGACATAACCATCCTGTGAGTGATAGTGGATCTCATACCCATCCTGTAGGTGATAGTGGAGGTCTCATCCATTCTGTGAGTGGTGGCAGATCCCATACCCATCCTGAGTGGTAGCAGATCCCTTACCTATCCTTTGAGTGGTAGTGAACCCAGTTCCCGTCCTACATACCTATCTTCCGAGAATCAATGTCCCAGTTTCCGGTCTCTGACCAGGCCTCCTGGTTGGTGGTCAGTTCAACAAGGCTGTTAGACGGTGCTGCTCACAGCCTGGCGTATGAATCACAACCCAGTTGATCAAACCAGTTGGAGGTGTTTATCAAGTTATCTTTTGAATACCATGTTGGGGTCGGCTAGTTGTGCTCCTTATATTTAGCAGTAGTGTTGAAAAGTCTTGGTCCTTTAATTAAACGAGACAAAATTAGAGGGTATTATATTGTACGATAATGTAGAATTTATGGGCGCTTCATCTGACAACGTTGAGCTTGCTGAGATGCAGTCCCTAGTCAATTTTTCCACAAACCCCCACTGGTGGGGGTGGCATCTACGTATCTTCCGGGTTTTTGTCTCAAGTTTTCCAGGTATTATAGTTTCAAACATCTCTTTGTTCATTTCCTTGGATCTCCTTCCTTGTCTAGTTTAATGTTTGGTTGGGATTCTGTGTGGAACATTTGCTTACATCACTTTCTTACTCTGGTGTGTTGGTCTTTCCCTTCCCTCCAGATCCTCCCCACACTGTTTCATGTGGCCTTCTGGCATCTTGGTCTTTAATGGATCCCATTTTATCCTGAGCGGCTGACAAATTCCCCCCCCCCCCGTCATCTGGTTTATCAGCTATCCAGGGATCGATTCAGTTTTAGTTAGCTTACTCTATACTTTTCTTTTATAACTGGAGGACATCCTAGTTTGCATCAGGCAACCCTCCCGTTCTTTTCTTCAGTTGGTCATTTTTCTTCGCTATGGTGAACCTGCTGGGCCGTGACTAGTTAAGGACACTTCCCACTCTTTCCAGTAGGAATGTTCTCGCTGCTCCTAGTAGCTTTACGGTGAACGCACTTTTTTGCTTATGGTAAATTCTATCTTTTTTTTTGTTTTTTTTTCTTCACCTAATACTTCAGCGTATGGGTTATTCCCACAAATTAAGTTGTAAAATTAACAATGTTTACCACTACAGTATAAGGAAAAAAAACTAATTATATTTTTAATATATTAGTTTAATGCATTATGCATGTAAGGAATCATTATAAAATTAACAAATCTATGTATACAATATAGTATATTTAAACTATCACAGTTGCTCATAATTAGCTCTTTCTATTATGTATGACAATGTATTCAAAATTCAACAATCAGTGCTACAGAGAAATGCAAACTTATAGTGCTTTGTAGGTACAGTACTATATGGACAGTATTATTAACAAATCTTATAAAAATTAGAGGGCATGAACTTCAATTGAGAATCCAAGTTTAATGCACAATACATTTTCTTACGAAATAAGACAACAACCTACATAATGTACATTGTTTTCCAAACAATTCCTAGGTAGGTAACCAACAATCTTACCCAATTTAATTGCCAACATTACATATTTTGTGCATTTAAACTAAAATTTTCCACAAATACCTGAACGTACACACGAAAACATTTGTTTGAATAATGTATTCAACACATGCAAAGCAACTCTAGGCATTTTATACACTGATCCCTGTCAATGGTAAATGAATGTAGTAGTACACACAGAAATCACACTAACGTGATGCATCAAATGAACAAATCCACAAGGACCGTGACGAGGATTCGTACCTGCGTCCGGGAGCATCCCAGACACTGCCTAGCTCAGTCGATTAAGGCAGTGTCTGGGATGCTCCCAGACGCAGGATTGAATCCTCGTCAGAGCCCTTGTGGATTTGTTCGAATGTAGTAGTAGTTACCTTGTTTGGGCATGAACCCTTTTTTTTGGACTCTGGGACCATCTGGCCCACTCGTTGCAGTGGCCTTGTGGCTCTTAAGTTTCTTTGCCTTGCGGCATATTTCATGTGTAGCCTTCAGGCTATTTTCCTCGTGCTGTGTCTTGCGGTGTTTGTGGGAAATTCGAGTATACCTGGGATATATGCAGCATTTGATCATGCCCCAGGATGCAACCCACAACAGTCGACTAACACCCAGGTTCCTAATCACTGCTAGGTGAACAGAGGAAATGTGTATAAGGAAACTTGCCTATACGTCTCACCCTGCCTGGGATGTGCTGAGCTTAAAGTGGCGATCATGTACCTTTATATTAGATAAAATAATCTTCAAAACATTATAAAATTAATGACTAACATTGCCTTGTTACCTCTCTTCTTCATCAGAATGCCTAACCCCTCCCACACACACCATTTTCATAATGTTAACAAAATTGTGTCACATACCAAATGTGTCTAATCTTGAATAAAGAGTACAATACAAAAAAAATATTAAAGTCCCGAGAATAAAAAAAAAAGAGTGCTATTCTAAATGACACAGCTTCTCAAAATATTATGAACATACACAAATAATTCAGTCACATGTTCCCAAATTCAATCAGTTACATACAGATATGACTGTTAAGGGTTAAGAGCGAGCACACACTCCCTCTCAAAGCAGCCATGCTTTGAGATGGGAACGGCCGATACCAACTGATCCTGGTTAGTATGGAATTGGAGAAAGAACTGGTCATACTGAAGTTGCCAACCACCATCATATAAAATATTTCTAATGACAGGTGGTCAGGGAATTATGCAAACAAGACTGGGAACTATATTTTAATATTAAAATAATTATATTTAAACTTGATTTACAGAAAAGTATTATTAATGCCATCTATAATACCTGTATATACAATTCATTCTTCAAGATTTCAAGTGTAAGACATTACACTCAAGGAATAAGTAACAACAAATTTAAATGATATTGTTGAAGCATTGTCGAGACAGTAACCTAGAATATAACAATTTCTAATATACTGTATATTTATTAAATATAATTCCTGTAATTATATATTTTTATCAATCGACTAAAAAGACTCAAAATGCCAATGTCAGATGATACAATGTAAAATGCATACCAATTAAAAAAACTTGATATATTGAGATAACCAAACACCTGTACTGCACAATATCATCCTAAAGAAATAAAATATCTGATGATGAAACTTTATACTGTATATGGTATAATGTAATCATCTCAGGCATCCACAGCAAATTCAAAGTGAATATTATTAGCCTCTTCAAGATACTTTTAAACTAAGATAATGTTAGCTGTAGCAAAATTTCAGTTTCAACTCAATGCGAGACCATTGAGTACATTCCTTGGCATTGGGGTGTATGCCAAGATCTCAGTCTCCAATATAACATTATGGAGACATAACGCCACTCAAGGATAGCTTTAAATTGGTTTTAAAAACTTAATCCACAAGACTACATTCTGCTGTCCAATTTCATTACGGGCCCTATATATTCTACTCGCAAGCATTTTAAGTTTCATGTCGTTGCAGAAGCTCTCAAGATACTCATGGAAATTAAAAAAAAAAACATAAGATATTCCATACTAGGAAACCTGATTATAAATACCTCAAATTACTTGGTATAATATGTCACAAGGCTGATTAGGGGTACTAATGTTCCCTTTAATGCCAAAGAACAACTGCAGTTCAGGCATTTTCCACAATAAAATACAGTATAAATACCTGTATATAATAGCTGCACACAATTAACAAGAGATATCACAAAGTGGCAGTAATAATTAAAAGCTGTTCACTTGTAGAGTACTTATAATATGGCAGACACCACTGAATTACCATAATAATGGATTAAACCTTACATGTGTAATGTTCTGTAATGTCAGGGAAGGAATATTTAGCGAAACCTTTATTTCTCTCTCGAACGAAAAAGGTTGACAGCACTTAAGAAAATCTTGCATAGTTGCCCTGCTCTTAAGTGATTTACATGTCAGTTCATCAAAAATTTAACTGAATAGGTTAACTGAAATGCAAATTTTGCATTTATGAGACTGTTCCCTTAGATCTACTAATGTCCTGCTTGCTGTATAGTAAAGATACTATTCTGACTGGTGCTCATCTCACCTGAAGAAATTCCAATAATATACTGATGACCATCTTGTGACACCACAACTTGTGGTAGAGTCATTAAAGCCTCGTCTCCTCCCACATTATCTATGGCTTTCTCTTCAGCGGCAGCAACATCTATGATTCCTTCTTCAGGAATACTGAGGTTTAAAATTGAAGCAGTTACATTCACATCTTGTTCCATTTTAATTTCATGCTTGAAATGTATTGGCTCTTTAAGGGACAACAGATCTTTTTCATTACGAGAAGTGACACAATTTGACACTGTGGTATCTGGTTCCCCCACATTGCCTAAGTTTATAGTTATTACTTGAGTATTATGGTTGCTACTCAAATTAACAGAATCAAAGTTGCTTACAGAGGTATTAACAGAATCAAAGTTGCTACCAGAGGTATTAAGGGAATCAAAGTTACTAACAGAGGTATTTACAGAATCAAACACAAATGAATCTGATCCATCTTGAATTGTGCTGCAATCTTCAGCATTCTTATGTTTATCAATTTTAATGACTGTCGTTTCTGTAGACTCTAGCTTGTCCTTTTGTGCATCTGTATTTTCAGTATTAATTTTAACATCTGAAGATTCACTCCTTTTCTTAAAGGCTTCCTTAACCAACTGCTTCTCATGATTTGTAGAATGTGTTATATATTCTTGCAAATTTGGGGATTCCATTGAACATATCTTAGAAAGAAATTATCCAATAAATACAAAAATACTATTACCAGTACAGTATATGTATTCATAGGTAAATAGGTATATATATGTTTTCCCATTAAATATATACGGCATTTATAATGAACATATACATATAATACAGTATATAAAATATACTACAATGTATGATCATACACAAATACAGAAAAAATACATACCTGACATTTGTATATGGCCTCTGCTTTTGGATGTTTTTTTGTAACATGCCTCTTGAAGTATGCAGTATGACAGCTCTCAAACAAACAATATGCATGTGGACATTTCAATGGCTTTAAGTGAAGGTGAATAAGTTTGTGTCTTCTTAATGCATTGTGGTCTCGACACTGCCAACCGCACAGCTCACATTTATGTGGCCGCTCACCGGTATGCTTCCTGCAGGAGTATCGATATTAGTTTTAATACATTGAATATTTTAATTGAAGTGATCCAATCCAGCAAGTGAAATTGGTCCGTGATTGCTTGCAAGTGCTTCTTCTGAAGTAGGCTAGTGTTGTAGCTCGACCCACACAAGGAAGGAATCCAAGTACGAGTGGGATGCCCCTTCTCTCCCTAATAAATTATTACATTCACATTTTAGTCACTATTGTAAGCAAATGGTAATGAGGTTTACATTTAAATATTTATACTGAATATATATACTGTTTAAGAAAGTGTACTACTAACCTTTGATGAACTTTTAAATCAAACTTTCTTGAACATTTATATGAGCAATGCGGACATGCATGAGGTTTCAATTTCAAATGTACCTGTAAAAATTTAAAACTTATATTAATCAAAGAAGTTTAAGCCAATAAATCTTGCATTAAATCCAAATGAGCCTATGAGGTCATAGACTGTATCACTCACAAAATTGCTATCAAACATTACAATGGCCATTCAAGTTTCCCCAAAAGTCATACGAGCTTATTTTAAAACATTGGTATGCAGTAACATAACACTTTTTAAAACACTTACAGCACTAATGTGATGCTTCAAGAGCTTCTTGTCCCCAAACCATCTCTTACATTCACTGCAATACCCTTTCTGTGCCCAGGTAGGGAGGTTCTTGGAACTGGCTATGTGGAGAACTTGATGGTTGAGCAATTGTGCCAGTTGTCTAAAACCTTTTCCACATACCTGTTTCCATTGGGTGTTAAGTATTAGTCAAGCAGCCATTCACTTTGTGGGGAGTAAATATGATTTGTATGCAAATCACTTTAATTCAATTGCAGATAAAAATAAAAAATTACAAATACAGTTCTGAATTATTGAAATCCACTAACACCAAGTGTAGGAACCACACTTTACTAAATTTTTCACCACTGCAGCTTCTTCAAAAGTAATATGGATGGGTACAGTAGTGAAACATTTAAGGTCCTGTCCTGCATTTGGTGTTTTCTTCCAGTAACTTCCATTTCAAGGTAAATACAGAAAAGAAAGATGATTTTTTTTATTCATTTTGATTACCTTACATATGTGGTCTCGAGCATCTGAATGAGTCTTTTGGTGAATAACTAGTTTCTGTTGTGTGCAAGTCTTGTATGTATGACAAATTCCACATGTGAGGAGGTCTATGTCTACTCCATGAGCTTTCCACAGGTGTAACTGACATATTGCCCACTGAAATGCAAACACAAAATAATCCACCATTAAATCATAGAACAGTAACATAGATAAAAAAAAACTCCAATACATTATAGGATAACATCCACAGCAGCAGCCTGTAGCTTCATATGACTAGGCACTTCCCACAAGTTGTCACTTAAAAATCTAAAATTATTTCTTGACATATTTTCCACCAGCTCTTATCTGCTGTTCACAATTAATTAATATTTTTTCTATTTCTCCCTCAACCTGCCAACCCTTAATCTACTTCTAAGAGGGAAAGGAGGAAATTCTCTCACTCTCACACTCTAACTTACTCACTCATTCCCCTCCCATCATTCATTCCTTCAAGATAATCCCATCATCTAATAATACAATACTCCTGAAGTGTTGCAATTTACCAATGTTTGCACCCAAGATTCCCATAATAAGCTAGCAAAATTATCTCTTGCATACAACAGATCTTAAGCTATCTAGATTTTTTTTAATTTCTTGCTCAAAAATTCTAAAAAATTCTCATAAATATCTCATATATTGAAAACATACATTTGTCTGTTTAAAATATTCTGAATTTTTATAAATTTTCCCAACTACAAATGAATGTTTTGGTTTTAATTCCTCTATCAGAAGAGCTCTGGAATTTTACCCAAACTGACCTCCAGCTTAAAAAATTAAGCAGATATTTAAATATTAATGCATTCCTTATGCTTTGCCTGATTACTCTAAGCCCTTATAATTTTATATACTACATTTAATTCTTTAGTAGAACCTATAAGCTAAAATGTTGATGTGATAGAATCCTCAGTCACATTGTAAAATAATTCAAAGCCATCTATCACTTTATAAAGTACAAAGAGGCATTTATTTCATCTATGCAAATTATTTCCTTCTACATATGCATTTTTATATGTTAAATACACTTGTCTTGCACCTCACCTTATCATACTTGAGGAAACACCGATGACAAGTGAAGACTCTCTCCTCACCACTACCTGCTTGTCCATGACATTTGTGGTGCTGATACAGGTTGTCTTCACTTGAAAATTTGTATTTGCATGTTTGTATTGGACACCTAAATAAATAATAAATATAAAGTTAAAAAACTTTTCAAGCAGGACCATAAAACAAAATTTAAATGAAGTGATCAAAATTGCCGCAGATTTTGGTCACCCTGAATATTTGGATAAGCTGAAGGCTACAGGATTAGCAACTCTTCAAATAATGAATGATAGATAGCATTAAAAGATTGTACAGTATGGGTACTTCAAGCAACATATAACACAGACAAGAATGAACCACATTCTTGTCTGAATGTGAATGAACCACAAATAGACTTGGTGTTGCCAAATGTAAGATGGATATTGAGGGAATCTGACTTCAGCACCTGGTTGATGTCAGTGAATACAGAGTTATAGGGTTCAATCAAGCTGAAAAATGAGAGCAGGATGCATAACAGATCCAGAGGAAGACAGGGAGAGGCACTCCACCTAGTTACCCATAAGCTGCTTTTCCCAACTGACTGGCTGGCTGCTGTGCAATGCCTGCATCATCCACTATGAGAAGGATGGATTGATTGCATCATCCTAGACTGCCATAAAGTCTTTGACAATGTCCCTCACAAAAAGCAAATTCACAAGTAATTATCAAAAAGAAGGCACCAAACCGGGAAGGTTATGTAGCACCATCAAATGTGCAGGATAATCAGAGGGCGCTAAATCGCTAAATATCACCAAGGATGCCAATATGGGAACAGAAACGCATAAGGCGAATGATATCAAAAGTATCAGAGTCACCGAGACTACTATCGAGAGGCAAGCGACTGCGGGGGATGGTCGGAAAACAAGACACGCTCGTCCCGGAAGTCAGGACACTCAACAAGGATATGCACGACCGTAGGAGAGACAATGCAATTAGGACAATAAGGAGCAGGGTGGCGCTCCATCAAGTGACCATGAGTTAAGCGAGTATGGCCAATATGCAACCTCGCCAGAGCCGTTTCCCACCGCCGGTTACAGTGGCAGGAGGACGGCCACGAGGACACACAACCTTTAAGAGAACGAAGTTTGTTACCAGTAACAGACGACCAACAAGCCTGCCAACGGGTAAGGATGGAGGAATGGATAACCGGGTAAAAGTCGGAATAAGGAATGCCTTTACGAGAGATGGGACAAGAGCGGACAGCTTCCCTGGCGGCAGCATCCGCACGCTCATTTAAAGAGACACCAATATGGCTGGGAACCCAACAAAACTCAACCGACTTAAATTTACTGTGAACAAGAAACAGCCAATGCTGGATCTCGACAACCACTAGATGAACCGGAGTAAAGGACCCGAGAGCCATGAGGGCACTACGAGAGTCAACAATAACTACAAAGGAAGATTGACAACGAGAGAGCAAGAGATGAAGAGCATAGAGAATAGCATAAAGCTCCGCTGTGAAGATGCTAGTCTCCGGAGGTAAGCGACACATAAGTGTGATCAGGAAAAATAATAGAGTAGCCAACACCGTCCGCAGACTTAGACCCATCAGTGAAGACGGAAACGGAGTGCGAGTGAGAAGAAAAGTGCTCAAGGAAAAGGCGCTTTAGAACCGTAGGAGGGGTAAAAGCTTTAGTGATGTGGGTTGAGGATGTACAAAACTGCGGAAGGGGGACTCTCCACAGGGGCAAAGAAAGAACAACACGGGGAGAAATATTAGAAATACGAACGGAAAGAGAATCCTGTAAGTGAGATAACCGGACAGAAAGAGGGAGGTGGTGAAGAGGAACAGGAACTGCAGGAGAGGTAAAAGTTAAAGCACGACAGAGGCGAGAAGGATGTTGCAAGGATTGTGCAAGATAGCGAAGACAGTAGCGATCACGGCGGTCCGGGAGAGACAGGAAGCCAGTGTCAACATACAAGCTGAGGACGGGAGTCGAACGAAAGGCACCAGAACTGAGGCGCAACCCAGTATGGTGCAAAGCATCAAGACGGCGAAGAGTAGGAGGAGAAGCAGACGAGTAAGCAGGGCAACCATAATCTAGCTTAGACAAGACGAGAGAGGAATGTAAAGCAAGGAGAGTGCGCCTATCCGCTCCCCAAGAAGTATGGGACAATACCCGAAGGAGGGCAAGGGCCTTAGAGCACTCAACACGGAGGTAAGAGATATGGGGAGACCAAGACAAACGAGTGTCAAAGAATAACCCCAAAAGCTTCGCGGAATCTTTGTACTCAAGGGGATGACCATAAAGTGACAAAGAGGGACGAAGAACGACCCGTTTCTGAGTAAGTCACGGCACAAGTCTTAGTAGAAGAGAACTTGAAGCCATGATTGGTGGCCCAAGACGACACGGCATCAATTGCAAGTTGAAGCCGGCGTAGAAGGAGAGGCGAATCATCACCCTGACAGCAAAGGCTAAGATCATCGACATAGAGAGCGGAGAAGACGCCTGAAGGAAGAGAGGAAAGAAGACCATTCAAGGCAACCAGAAAGAGAGTAGTGCTCAGAACACTACCTTGGGGCACACCTTCATATTGCTGAAAAGAGGCAGAGAAAGCGGTACTAAGCCTCACCCGAAAGGAACGACGAGAGGAAGCTGCGGAGAAAGAGATGACCACGAAGGCCAAAAGAATGAAGCTGGGATAAAATATGATAACGCCAAGTGGTGTCGTAAGCCTTTTCCAGGTCAAAAAGGACGGCAACAATGGAGGTCTTTGCAGCAAAAGCAGTACAAATATAGACCTCCAAGTTCACCAGAACATCTGTTGTGCTGCGGCACTTGCGGAAACCAAATTGAGAAGGGGAGAGGTGATGGTGTTCCAGGAACCACATCAGACGAACGTTAACCATACGTTCAAAGAGTTTGCAAACACAACTTGTGAGGGCAATAGTCCTTAGGGGATGTCCCCCAGAGACCCTGGTTTGCGAACAGGAAGGACAACGGCATCGAGCCAGTCCTCAGGGACTGACGACAACTCCCAGATCCGATTATACAGACTCAGTAAATACTGAGACGTGCACGGAGGGAGATGGCAAAGCATCTCATAATGAATGCCATCAGAGCCCGCTGCCGTAGAACCGCAGAGGGCCAGGGCAGATCGAAGTTCAGAGAGAGAGAAGGGATCGTTATAGGGAAGTCGAAGATGAGTGCAAAAATCTAAAGGACGTGATTCAAGGACAGGTTTACGAAGAAGGAAAGATTGGGAAAGATGAAGACCAGAGCTAACAGAAGAAAAGTGGGAACCCAGTTCGGTAGCGACCTGCAACGGGTCTGCCACAAGAGTACCACGGAGGTGAAGGACCGGTGAAACATCGGGAACGAACTTACCAGCTATCTTGCGGATATGCTTCCAGATCCGTGGCAGAGGAGTTTTGGATGTAATGGTGGAGACATAAGATGCCCAACATTCACGTTTAGCCGTACGGATGGCCCTATGGGCAACCGCACTCGCCTTCCGAAAGGAAAGAAAAGAATCGGCTGTCTGCCGACGGCGGTGTCTCTTCCAGGCTGCATGCTTACAGCGGACAGCCCGAGCACAGCCTGCATTCTACCAGGGAACGCACTTCAGTGGACCCCAAGAGGAAGAGCGAGGAATAGAGCGGAGGGCAGCGTCGAAAACAGTGTCATGAAAAAGGAGGAGAGAGCGAGGGAGAGGCAGAAGGGAGAGGTCAGAGAGAGCAGCACTGAGGGTAAATAGGTTCCAGTCCGCTTTAGGAAACTGCCACCTAGGGAAGGAGAGGGGAGGGCGAAAAGAGAAAAAGGTAACAAGGATGGGGAAATGGTCACTGCCATGGAGGTCATCAAGAACCTGCCATGTGAAATCTAAGTAAAGAGAAGACGAGCAAAGAGAAAGATCAAGACAGGAAAGGGTGCGAGTCCGAGAGTCCAAATGCGTGGGCTCACCAGAATTCAGAAGAGAGGATAAACGGCTCAAGAAGGTGACCTCAGGTGTTCGTCAGAACATCACCCCAAAGGGAATGACGACAATTGAAATCACCCAGCAGGAGCACAGACTCCGGCAAGGAGTCCAGCAGGTGTTTCAGATCAGAAAGAGAAAGCGGGATACTCGGGGGGAGATAAATGGAACAAACTGTGTACCATTTCCCCACAAAGATACGAGCAGCAGAACAATGGAGAGGTGAAGGAAAAAGTATGGGGACAAAGGGAACATCAGAACGAATCAAGAGAGCAGAAGAATTAGGAGCCCCAGCAGCAGCTGGGAGGGGGGGAGGGGGAGGGTCAGAGAAAGCAATAGCCACGAAAGCGACCAGGACGAGCACCAAGCATCGGCTCCTGGAGACAGACACAAAGGGGCGAAAACTGCGAAATCAGAAGTTGGAGTTCGAGGAAATTGGCGTAATAACCTCGAACATTCCATTGAAGATTAGACATCGACGAGAAGAGAAAGGACAACAACAGAGAAAAAAGAAGAAACAAAGGCGAAAGAGCAATACAACACGTTAAAGATGATCAGGGTCGGGATCAGGGTCAGCAAAGTCAGGGTTAGGGGGCATGGGTAAACTGAGCAAAGACAGAGGGAAGGAAGCGGGAGAACAGACCAGAGGTGGGCGGGCGGGGCCCGGAGGAGGAGGAGGAGTCAACGGAGAGGAGCAGTCAAGGACAGCAGCAGGAAGAGGGGGAGTAGAAAGAGGGGAGCCCACCTCAGCAAGGGCAGCAACCGAGAGGGAAGCAAGGGCCAAAGAAACCTCCATAGCAGGAACAGGGGGCGCAACCACCGAAACGGGAGGGGAAGGAGCAATAGTCAGTAGTAGGGGGCCGAGGAAGACAGCGAAGCCTTCTTACCCGCCGGGGAGGAGGAAGGAGAGGAGACAGGCTTACGCATCTGACTTAAAGAGACCGGTGACCCAGCAACTACGTACCGGGCAACGGATTCCAGTGTCTCAACAGAAGCTGAACGAGAGCACACACGACGACCGTTAGGAGAGCGATGGACATCAGCCCGCACCGACAGGCGGCGGGGAGAGTCAATAGACGGAGGAGAAGGAAGGTAAGGAGGATCGGAGGGAGACAAGGAAGAAGACACAGGAGACATGACAGACCGGGTAGAAAGAAGGGGAACCCCAGACAGAGGACCAGGAGGGGGACCCTTCAGGACAGAACTCTAAGGAACAGAGGAGGGGGCAGTGGGCGTATCAGGGTCCAAGGCCCGGAAACGGTTGTGAGTCTGAGGAAGGTGGGAAGGACGAGGAGAGGAAGAGCGCAACACGCGAGCATAAGAGACGTTAGCATAAGGCGGGAGCCGGCGAACCTGGCGCCTCGTCTCAGGAAAAGATGAACACTCCCGGTGCTTCAAGGTGAGGATGGCTGCCACAAGCTTGTACTGTAATGGATACAGGCACGGGAGAAGGTAGGATGGGCCTCACCGCAGTTGAGGCAGCGAGCCTGGGGAGAAGTGCACTTCGACTTAAGAGTGACCGTCGCCCCCACACAAAGGACAGAGAGAGACAGTCCCAGAGCAGCGAACGGCACCATGCCCAAACCTCCAGCACTTGTTACAGAGCCTAGGAGAAGGAATGTACTCCTGGACAGAGCACCTGGCACCAGCAAGAATGACAGAAGGTGGAAGGGTCCGACCATCAAAGGTAATCTTCACAACCCGAAGGGGTTGACGGCGACTACCATGAGGGGGACAAGTAAATGTGTCCACCTGGAGAATAGAATGGCCCTGGGCATCAAGGATATGTCGAATATCGTCGTGGCAGTCTCGCAGATCCCGAACACCGGTCGCAACATGGGGCGGGAGGAGAATAGTGCCAACACTGGCGTTCAACTGAGCGTTCTTTGAGACCCGAACAGGGGTCTCGCCAAGGCAAGATAAGGCAGCCAAGCGGGAAGCTGCATCCTGAGAAGGATCAGCAATGACATGTGTACCGAGACGAGTAGGGTTGAAGGAAACAGAGGCATCCACGGACTCAAGATGTCGATGGAGGGAGAAATCGCCAGGAGGCGCAGAATCAAGAGGAAGGAGATCAAAATATTTGGCCCACGAAACGGGACCAAGCAAGGGTTGATAGGCATCAGAACGGGAAGGAATCGAGCGAGTGCGGCCGTGTCGAGGACGGCGTTGAGAACCCCCAGAGAGAGAGGGGTTAAAAGGCGCAGTAGTTACAACTAGAGATTGAGCCGTGCCAGGGGACGAGGTAGTCACCACTGGGGGCTTGGGGCTCAACCCAACCATAGAGGAGGGAGGGGAGCCGAGGGGAGTAGTCAGAGGCGCCAAAGGAGGAGCAAAGTCGGGGCCCAATGCAGCGGAGGCTACAGAGCCTGGTCTTCCAACATGGACCGACTCGGGGGCTTGGTCGCCCACCCCACGAGCCTGAGAAGGTAAAGGAGGAACAGAACACAACATAGGTACGAAAAAGAAACATTCATTCACGAATGTGCCCCCACACCCACCATGGAGCCACAATTAGAGGCAGGACACCCAACAAGAAGCTATCGCCGATCATGCCGGGGCCTCCTAGGGGTGCATCGTGAGTATACACCCCACAAACGCCATCTTAAGAACTGTCAGTCCGTCTAGATCAGGTTCAATGACAAAAGGGGGATTGACAATAAAAGGTTCCCCTCGCTCTCGACGTTGGGTACTACAGTTCTACGGGTGCAAGATTATGCCTCCTCAAGCATCTGGGCGTCAAAATAGAAGAAGTCCAAAGGAATAACCAAAACACGCAAAAGGTCGGCAGGAAATACAAGCAGATAGAAGAGGGGGGGAGAAAAACGAAACAGAAGGAAAAGGAAAAGTTGTTCAGCAAAATTTGAGAGGACAGCAGTAGGAGTACAAGGCTACAAAAGGACAGAGGACTGTCCCAAGGAGCATCACACTCCGGCAGCCGCCCACTAAGCCCCCCCTCACGGCATCAACGAGCTGAACGAGGAGGGGGGAGCAAATTCACAAGTTGGAGTGACTGACTGGTATAATTAGGAAGATAAAGAGTTCTGGATTGAAAAGTAACTGATTAACAAGAAACAAAGGGATGTAACTATGGTTTTCCATTGTTGGGGACAAGAAGTCTGTTAGCCTAGCGGGATCTTCAGAAGCCTAACTACTGACCTTATGCAGGATGAATACCACAACAAATGCCTAACTCCCAGGTATCTATTTACTGTTAGATGAAGAGAGGTCCAAACTGGGAACCACCTGCACAAACCCTGAATGAATGTGCCCATGATAACACTGCTACATCCCCTGTCTGCTGTGGTAACTAATATTTTCACCTCTGGTATTGTGTAGATTCATTAAAGGATTTGATGCCATTTTATGAGAAAATAGTTAAATTTTAATAGCTTTTAATAGCAGTCATACTTTTTTACTGAAACTTGTAATACTTATATTTTCAAGAGAAAATGAGATATTGAAGATTCTCAATAAAAATCCTTTTAAAGAATAAGACAACATAATTGACAAAAACCACACAGTGTCTGCTGGGAAAATGTAATATCAAGAAGACAGGCTAAGCAACAGCTCTCAAAACCAGTATCATACAAACCTACAGATCTCTAAACAAAAACAACCTACACAATATTTAAGACAATGACAACACTGATTTTAATGTTAAAAAAAAACATTAAAACGTACTTTAAATTTTTTTCAACTTCCTTTGAAAATACAGGTTTGGGCCTCTGCTTTTGAAGCCAATACTGATCCTGCATATTTTTGGGAGCTCGAATACGGCGCTTACTGGTCTCAGAACTCTCCGATTTGTTAGCTTCTGTTTCTTCCTAATAACAAAAAGAAGTCAGAAATTATCTAAAGTTAACACTTCGATAAATTCAAATAACTATATAAATGCACACATACAAAGTATAAATCAACATAATTATTTCATTTCATTCATTCATTCATATGGTAGGGAGACATTAGCCTGGAAGAAATAGACAAGTTCAGGGAGGAGGGTGGGGTTAAAAATATTAAAAAAGACCACCATCCAACCATCAGATTTTTCTGCCAACAGTTTTGTACCCTACAAAATCACCTTCACACTCCATCATCACCTCACTCCTTCCTATGTATAATCAATTTATGTGATGCATTAACTATTACACCAAATTATGTAATATACATCTAAGACTCATTCAGTATTATGAGTGGGGTGTGGGGGAGGGTTGTGGTGTATGTATATGTACTAGATGGGGTATGGCAGTGTCAGAGTCCTTCCCTTCCCCCCACCCCCCAAAAAATTTTTTAAAACAATGCTCACCTGATTGCATATGCGAGATTTTCGATGGCTAATGAGAATGCCAGGCTGAGGAGGATATTTAGTCTGTTCTTGTAAATGACGGTGGCGATGGTTTCCCTTCCTTGATCTCTTCTCAGATTCTTTAGGGTGTTCCTAAGACCATAAAATAAGTTATGAGATTGAACCTACACTTACCAGATAGAAGACTGGATAATCTTCATTATTAAATGAATCAGTTTTTGACAGTCATATTCTGTATCAGGAGTAGCACTACCCCATTTCTCACCGTTGAGTGGTGGGGAGGCAAAAGCATGAAAGAAATATGAAAGCAAGTACTGTAGGAAAGGAAAATAAGATGTACCCAAAAGGACACCCCATCCAATCATATCTATCACACTACAGCACATAGAACTAACACCACATTCAACATTCAGGCATTACATCCACAGCAGCACCCCACTGATTCATACAATCAATTGTAGTGCACTTTCAGCGAGCTGTCATTTAAAAAATGCATATGTCACTCTTGACAAACTGTTATCACATTTCTTTCTTTTTTTTGAATTCACAATGCATAACAATTTTCTGCAAAGATAAACTAACTAATCAGAGCACTATTTGTAGTCACTACTGTATTTAACTCAGAGAAAGCATTTCTCAGAGGCAATTGTCACTTTTTAAACAAATTACTTTGTAATTTAGTACTTAAACTACACAGTTGTGAACCCTTGTTATTTCCTCCATACCAAAGTGCTTGTATGAAATTTTCTCCTCAATTTAATTCATCCAACAATTGATTTTAACTTATATTTTCTGCAAAATAATAGAGCCCAGGTAACTAAACAGGTGAGCTCTATTACCTCACTTTGCATAGATACAAATACAGTGCTCTGCTGAGTTTTAACCCTTTCACTGCTGCACCTTCGTATCAACCCCATACTTTTCTTGAGTCAATATGAGACTAAAAAAACATTTATTTTTCCAATTATGTTCTTACACTAAGAATAAGAAATTACTTTCTATTTTTAGTGGCACCATTAACACTTTCGCGCACCCCACGCGCCACCCCTCGACAGGGCGATATGGGCCCCAGCGTGTCACGGAAGCGCGCGTCAATTCCGAAAAGTGTATACTCTCCAACTTTGTCACCTCAATTTTCGTTCTACGAGATTAAATTTGGTATCATTGTGTTCGCAATAAAATTCTCTACAGCACTAAATGCATATAAACTCCAAAAGCCCGGCTAATTACCCGCAGCAAGCAGAGAAAGTGCGAAAGAGTTACCCGGGAGCGCGCAAACGCGATAAAATGTTTTCACTATTTTCACTCTGGTCACCTCAATTTTCGTCCTAGGTCTTTCATTTTGGTCTCAATGGGTTCGTAATAGAATTCTCTAGAGGAATATTAGCATATAAAATAAAAAACCTGGTCACGCTCCAACCGCCAACGAGTTGAAGACCGGCCACGCGTTAGCCGTGAGTGAGCGCTCAGACGCCTTCCCGCTACACTCCCAATTCCCGCCCACATATGTTTAGTATTATTTCCTGGTGGTAATCTCAATTTTCGTGTTACAGCGCTCATTTAGGTATGAAAATGTTCCTAATAGAATTCTTCAGATGGATATGTGCATATAAAGGCCAATTGAAGAACAACATTGCCTGTACAATACGGGAAAGTATGAACAAAAAAAAAAATAAATAAATAAATAATAAAAAAATTTGCACTTAACACCTCAGTGTTGTGTGTTGAACATGACATGGGTTGAACATTTGTTTTATCCACTCCACCTGCTCCTGGAAAACGTTTCCTGCAGGGTCAACCCATGTTTTGTTTAGGTGGAGTGGATGGTGGGAGTTAGTCTCACATGCTTGTACTTCTCCTGTACACTACTCAGCTTCTGCTTTTCACGCCTTTCTTTCGCAATTTTCTTCCTGGAAGGGCCTTGTTCATGATCACTATCCATCGTGGAGTAAGCGTAGATAGTTTCTGAAGCCGCAGTAAGAAATATAGCCACGGAAAATAGCCGAAATGTTCACACGTTTGAGACGCGAGGGGAGGCGACACCGGTCACAACAGTGGAGCGAAAACAATGGGCCGACGGCGTGTGCCGCGCCGCCTGCGGGCCACTAGGCGCAACAAAGATAATGGGAAGACATTGGCGCGCATTTTAAAACCAGTCCCAAAAAAATCGGATAAAAACCTGATTTTTGGCGAATTTTTAAAGTGGATGATGCAATGCTGCGTCATCCCCGGCATTACCGCCAGTAAACGGATGACGCAATGCTGCGCAATGCTGCGTCATCCCCGAGCGAAAGTGTTAAAAAAAAATTATAATTAAATATATTTTGAGAATTTTCTAAAAGAAAATCTGGTTCAAGAACATAACTCAATACCAGACCTATGTGATCAAGACAAAATATCATTATAAGAACAACTAATAACAATAATTAAATAAAACAAAAAAAGTGTCTACCTTATTAATGTGCTCTTGATACTGATGAAGTCCTACAAAGTTTTCTAAACAGAATCCACATGACAGTATGTTCAGCTCCTCTGAAAAATACACAATATAAATACTGAACATTTTGTATACAGTATGATATAATACTACACAATATATGCAGTACATTATTAACACGAGGTAGTGCACAATATCACCAAATTCAATCTATGATGTGAATGTCTTTATCAGAATCTCAAATTGACTGGTTTTACATATATTAATTGTAACAATGCTTACAGTATCAATACACAAGACTGTAAAACAATCCCAAGATCAAAAACCAATGTATCAAAAGATTTTGTTGCAAGAACTTACAAAATAATTAGTCCCCACATTCACTTAATATCAAGAGACACTCCATATACTTCCTGGTGTACAGACACGCATGGCACACAGTTCTGGTGAAGGTTGAGGGGAGGGAACAATCATTCTACAGAATGGGAACAACTGGGTAACCTGCTCAGAAAGTAGCCATTAAAAAAACAGACCTCAAGCCATATTTTTTTTTGCTATCTCACTCAGTTGCTTTGTAGAGCAACAAACACACACACAAATGACAAATACACACACACAATGACTATTTGCAAGAAAAACATTGTGAAACTTACTAGGTGCTTCTCTCCTGTTGTTACTTCCTCCCTTGAGGATAATATTATTTGCTGGTGTACCAAAAAATGACTTTTTGGAAGACAACTTGCAGGCAGTTGGATGTAATGACCGACCATTGTTGTTTGAAGTTGTTACACGGATTTTTACAACTCCTCCCTGTAAATAACAAAATTACATTTGAACCTTTTAATTGATAAAAATACAGAGAGGTTTGATCTTCAAAGATAATTTAATTGTGCCATTTTTAAGGTGCTGCCAAATGAGGTGATGTTCTGTACTCTATAGGGCTCAATATAACATGAACATTAAAGTAAATATAATCTCTCTGAAATGCATATAGATAAACATTGTGTTAAGGGTTGGTAAAAACAGTTTTGAAACAATATGACTAGCATCTTTCTAATCAATGTCAGTAGACTGCCCATTGCTGCTTCCTCTGCATGAGGATAGTGGCAGCCAAGCAGGTAACATTCTGGGGCACCAGTGCTACAGGGAAATTTGTAAGCAGTCCCTGCAGGGTTCTTGAGGTGTTAAGGGGTCCCTGGAGACGCACTCAATCCAGCCTGAAGTGACCAACAGAGGTACATTCCATAAAAGTTCAAAGTCATCATGTGATCAAACAATGACCAAATGAGATTTCAACTTAATAACCTACAACCAGCCTGGAAACCTTGTACCCCAGCTGCCACCAGATACAAGTGCCATCACAACAAGACATCTACATCTCCATCAAATTCACAATTATGCTGCTCCTCCTAACATAAATGTTACATACAGAAGGAAAACAAATAATAAAAACAACAATTGGTCCGACATACACATCATCAATGTCAAACTTGACAAGGACTGCATGTAGCGTCAGTATACAGTTGGGCATAATGTATAGTGGAGACCAGGCTGCAGCAACCAAATCTTAAAACAAAATTTGACTTACAAAATACACTTGTCATTTTCTAAGGCAAAAACCTGTAATTCAGATGTAGCTGAACGTATCGTTCCAACCAAGCACTAAAAACCCTATTTCTCTCCTTGAAAATCAGGTGAAGAATGAGATGAACATGGCTGTGGAGAGTGATCTCCTGTTACAAAAACAAAGTACAGAATGTCTGCAGTGCATGACAGGCCATCTTGTATTGACAGCAAGAAACTGACCACAGGATTCAAAGCAAGAAATCAACCACATTCCCCATATCAGTCATCTTGAGGCTATCCTGAGATGATTTCGCGGCTTAGCTTCCCCGCGGCCAGGTCCTCGACCAGGCCTCCTTTTTGTTACACACCCCCAGGTAGCAGCCCGTAACAGTCTAACTCACAGGTACCTATTTACTTCTAGATGAACAGGCACATCAGGATGAAAAGAAACTCTGTCCATTTGTTTCTGCCTTCACCGGGAATCAAACCCGGAACCTCAGGACTACGAATCCAAAGCGTTATCCACTCAGCTGTCAGGCCCCGTCAGATCAGTGGAATCGGATCAAATTCAAAACCTCCACATGCAAGTATTTATCAAAACAAGGCACCAAACATAGATTGACATGAATATAACTATTGGTTGAACAATTGTATTGGGATCAGAATAGACAAGACAACTGGATTGGGACACTTTACCAAAGTAACCAAGGACAAACCTGCTACCCCAGGTATGGAGCCTACTGAATGACTTAAAGCAGCAGCAACACCATAAGAAAGAGATAAGTAATCCTCACTAATTCTAATTGGCATGAATGGCATCCACCTGAACACAAATGAATTGTGATGAGGGAGCACATACAGGGAAATTATTATTCCAGTAGATGCAAAGAGATCCACTGAAGGACTGCCTCGTCTACCTTCCATGCCATCTAAGTAAAGACAAAACCACCACCATCTCCTCCTCCCTAGTTCTTATCACATGATTATTATCAGTTATAAGAAATTACTCACTTATCTATTACATAAATCATAAATCAATATACAGAAGCCTGCATATTACAAATCTCAACTCATTTACATTTACAATGTGTAAATGAGACATTATGCACTACATAGATGAACTGAATTTAAAAATAAAATGAACCTAAATGAAAAACAGATTTCTAAGATATTGTAATACACATTAAAAAATATATTATACTTACAGGCTTGTGAATATCTTGATAGTGAAGCAAGAGTTCAGATTTCTCAATAAAAACTTCCGAGCATAACTTGCATCTATATGTCATCACAATATCGTACAGACTTTCTTCATCAATATCCATAGGCTCACTTAATTCAGATTTGATTTTAATCTGATCAAAAGGCAGTTCATGATCATTATGGAGTTTCACAGTTATGTTGGATCTCGGATTTGATCTGCCAGTCAGGCTTGTAAGTGGCTTAACTGAATATCTGCTTTGGATGGAAGGCTCAGATGCAATACGAATGTGGGGTTTCAAACGTGTCTTCCTATCTTGTGGCAGCGATTCCTCTTTGAAAACAGTGATATTAGTTACATCTGCACTTGTGGTAGCTTCTGAAGTAGGGAGAGTAGTAGTCTCAATATTAATTGATTCTGCATGATCAATGACTTCATGGTGGTGATTACTACCCCCTGTAAACTTCTCAATTATCTCCTCCAGATTAATATGTGGCACAGATTCAATACCAAGCAGATCTCTTCTTATTTCACCTGTAGTTACTTCACCATTTTCATCTGGCACTTGCAGGGTAAGCATAGGGGCCCCAGAACAATCAATTAATGAGGAACTTCCTCTTTGATCCTCTGTAGTTCCACCAATAGTATGAAGATTTAAGATAGAATTCCCACTTCTCTTGGCCTGATGACTAGCATTTGAGGTGTGTGATGCACCTACTCCAGTATTAAGACAAAGTGATGATTCCAACCGAGAGTCAAATATTTGATTAGTAGTATGTTCTGTCGTAGATGTATTCCCAGATGTAGCTATACGAGATGTTAACAGATTTTCTACAAGAAAAAAGTTAAAGGAATTACATTAATTTTTAACTTGATCTATGACCAACTGGCATTTATGCATTTTTCTAGAAACAGACTGAACATGTATTTGGATTAAATACCAAAAGTAGGTAATATGTCATTACCTGGACAATCAGTATTGGATAGGTCTTGGTACATGCATCCCTAGCTAATAGTCCATAAGGGTGAGTAGATTGTGTAGGGAGAAAAATATATGAATATTCATGGGTAAAATATGAAAAGGAATGAATTAGTAGAATTTAGAACCAAGACAGTTGACTTTCACATTTAAATGCTTAGAAGACATGAGAATGATATTTTAATGGATAATAAATAAAACAGATGAACACTGAACAGCTGTAACTATGCATCACTGCCGCCAACTTAAAACAAGGCCCAGTGAAAGTTAATATCTGCTATTTTCTGCTTTTTGATACAGTATTGTACATGTACAATTATACAGTACATTTCAAAAACTTTATAAACACTCTGTAGTACTTGTTTCATGATGCCTACTAACATTTGATGTATATTTAACTACAGTATAACACGATGCTACCCGTATCTTTACATAAGCTATGTAGAGGTTTGTAATGAGAAAAAGAGATATTACTGCAAATATGCAAAGTTTTATGAGAAACCCTCGACAACAAAATTTTACTCTAGAAACAAAGCAAAAATCACAGTAAAGAGCAAGCTCTCGCAATTACTGAACTACAAGTTTGTTCTTTAAATGACCTAGTAAACAGATAATTTATTTCCAATACTTTAACAGCATTTCTTAACTTTATAAGATATAACATACTTACCAACTGAAACATGGCAGGTGTTTCCTGAGGAATGTTCATCATGTGGTCTTTCCACTATAACTTGCTCTTCTTCAGATTGCAGTGCACCCACCACCACAAATTGTTCATGAGAGCTGTCATCCCCTTGCAACTGTAATACAATAATAATTTAGAAATAATACGATTATAATTGAATCTATTCATGTACAGTATATAATATACAAATTTGTATGTCCTTGTGTATACTCTATATACTGGTCAAAACTCAAATCTCAACATCTGCCCCGGGACACAAACAAAACCCTGGCCTTTACCCAACTTCCAAACAGGTATAGGTGCATATGCAAGTTACAGGAATAGGTGCATAAAATGGGTACCTGGTTGTTAAACGATTTTTCACAGGGTCGTATTCCAGGGAACATAGGATTAAGGACTTGCCCGAAACGCTATGCGTACTAGTGGCTGTACAAGAATGTAAGATCTCTTGTATATACTGTACAGTGTATAAATAAATAAAATGAGATTTAAAGGATGAATTGAAGTAGAAAAAAAAAGTGACAATTCCATGTTGAATGGAACCGCAGAAATTGCAACAGAAAAGCAGATAGTAATTTTAATGAATTAACAATGATTTCCGAGTGCTATATAATTACCTGAGGCCCTACTGTCTCCTGGGTAGAGTGAGGGAGGTGATGAACCAACACATGAAGACCAGTAGCAGGAACCAGGTACAGCATTGGGCCTTGTGCCACATCTTCATTTTCTCCCTCATTTCTGCTTAACAAAACCTCTTCAGCACCACCTACATCTTCATCTGCACCAGACAGAAATGTTTCAGCCGTTTCCGAGGCTTCGGAAAGGCTCAGAAACGTCTCTGAGGTTCCTGGTTGGCTGCTTAGAAATGCTGCATCTGCAGTTTGTGAAGATCGTGCCAGGAAGGATGAAGAGACATGCGAGTTTGTTGTTAACTCGGTCAAGAAACCTCCCACTGCCATTGACGACCCTGACGTCTCCCCTTCATATGGTACTGCTGTTTGGCTTGATCCTCGAACCAGGAATGAGCTTAAAGAATTTGACATAGCTATCTGGAAAATTAAATTATATTTAAGCATAGCTTGAAAAATAGTTACAGTATAAATCATTTTTGAACAACTTAATGCCAAAATATTATTGTGCAATAATTTATTGTGTAGATTGATAAAGATTAAGCAACCCAAAAGATGGCATAGGCATGAATTATGTAGAATAACTCCCCAAATTTAAATGCAGCAGAATATGCCCCAGCGAGGCCACGATGGTGCCCCAGTGAGGGCAGCGATGATGCCCCAGCGAGGCCACGATGATGCCCCAGCGAGGCCATGATGATGCCCCAGCCCGGCCACAATTATGCCCCAGCGAGACCATAACGATGCCCTAGCGCAGCCATAATGATGCTCTAGCGCGGCCATAATGATGCCCCAGCGAGACCATAACAATGCTCCAGCGAGACCATAACAATGCTCCAGCGAGACCATAACAATGCTCCAGCGAGACCATAACAATGCTCCAGCGAGACCATAATAATGCTCCAGCGAGACCATAACCATGTACCAGCGAGACCATAACCATGCCCCAGCGAGACCTTAATGATGCCCCAGCGAAACCTTAACGATGCCCCAGCGAGACCTTAATGATGCCCCAGCGTGGCCATAACAATGCTCCAGCGAGACCATAACCATGTACCAGCGAGACCTTAATGATGCCCCAGCGAGACCTTAATGATGCCCCAGCGAGACCTTAATGATGCCCCAGCGAGACCTTAACGATGCCCCAGCGAGACCTTAACGATGCCCCAACGAGACCATAACAATGCTCCAGCGAGACCATAACCATGTACCAGCGAGACCTTAATGATGCCCCAGCGAGACCTTAACGATGCCCCAGCGAGACCTTAACGATGCCCCAGCGAGACCTTAACGATGCCCCAGCGAGACCTTAACGATGCCCCAGCAAGACCTTAACGATGCCCCAGCGAGACCTTAACGATGCCCCAGCGAGACCTTAACGATGCCCCAGCGAGACCTTAACGATGCCCCAGCGAGACCTTAACGATGCCCCAGCGAGACCTTAACCATGCCCCAGCGAGACCTTAACCATGCCCCAGCGAGACCTTAACGATGCCCCAGCGAGACCTTAACGATGCCCCAGCGAGACCATAACAATGCCCCAGCGAGACCACAACCATGCCCCAGTGAGACCATAACCATGCCCCAGCGAGACCATAACCAAGCCCGAGCGAGACCATAACCATGCCCCAGCGAGACCATAACAATGCCCCATTGAGAATATAACCATGCCCCAGCAAGACCATAACCATGCCCCAGTGAGACCATAACAATGCCCCAGCGAGACCACAACAATGCCCAAGCGAGACTATAACCATGCCCCATTGAGAATATAACCATGCCCCAGCAAGACCATAACCAAGCTCCCAGCGAGACCATAACAATGCCCCAGCGAGACCATAACCATACCCCAACGAGACCATAACCATGCCCCAGCGAGACCATAACCATACCCCAACGAGACCATAACCATGCCCCAGCGAGACCATAACCATGCCCCAGCGAGACCTGCTAGGTCCTAGCAGGGGGGAAATAAGGCCCTCACAAGTCTGGTGCATCCATTACCTCAGTGCCAGCAAGGGGCACCGAGGCCCTACTGAGCCGCCAGCGACCACCACACGGGACACAAACAACGTCGTCTCGCTACCAAAATGGCGACGCCCCTTGCCAACCCTCAGTGCTTTGGGGACGAGACGCCAGGGGACATGGCGGCCCAGTACACACGGGATTATTACCGGGTCTAGACACTGTCGACAGTGTCTCCTGCAGGAAGGTGTTGTCTCTCACCTGGGAGACCGTGGTGCTGCCAGGGAGGGAGGGAGAGAGGAGAGCGGGCGGCGTCGGCGGCCTCCGTGTCGTCTGCATCAACACATTCAAACGGAAATTTCTGTAACTTCCTTTAATTTAAAATTGAATTTCCTTTGATGCATATATTACCCCTGGAGGACATGTATAGTTATTGATCTATGAGGCACAGTTATATAGTACGGCGCTGAACACATTATATATATATATATATATATATATATATATGTCGTACCTAGTAGCCAGAACGCACTTCTCGGCCTACTATTCAAGGCCCGATTTGCCTAATAAGCCAAGTTTTCCTGAATTAATATATTTTCTCTAATTTTTTTCTTATGAAATGATAAAGCTACCCTTTTCATTATGTATGAGGTCAATTTTTTTTTATTGGAGTTAAAATTAACGTAGATATATGACCGAACCTACCCAACCCTACCTAACCTAACCTAACCTATCTTTATAGGTTAGGTTGGGTTAGGTAGCCGAAAAGTTAGGTTAGGTTAGGTTAGGTAGGTTAGATAGTAGAAAAACAATTAATTCATGAAAACTTAGCTTATTAGGCAAATCGGGCCTTGCATAGTAGGCTGAGAAGTGAGTTCTGGCTACTAGGTACGACATATATATATATATATATATATATATATATATATATATATATATATATATATATATATATATATATATATATATATATTTTATATATATATATATATACATATATATATAATTATATATATTAATTACATTATATATAATATAATAATTACAGTATATAATAATAATAATTATATATAATATAATATTTAAAATTATATAAAGTAATTATATATTTAATTTATATATATATAATATAATTGCTTCGTTCCTCTTCTGCTTACTTGATAAACTCACAATGTTAGGCAAGTGAGCTCATCTCAGTGTATTTACCTGAAGGTCACAACTATTTAGTGGCCTCCGCGGGGGACACGAAGCTATTGGCTTGTCAAAGATTTCCTAATTTTCCTTTCTTGAGATTTTTTTTTCAAATGTACTGTATTTTGAACTGCAATAATGTCTTGGTATTTACGGCGGGTAGGCGGTTCCATGGGTTTATAACCCTGTGGGGTGAAAAGAACCTCCTGTTGTCTGTCCTATATTATTGTGGCTTGAGCTTGACGCTATATCTTGAGGTTATCTTGAGATGATTTCGGGGCTTAGCCGCGCAGGGGTTGCCAGATTAATTTGCTAAAAGTAGCGAGCTGACGGTCTGAAAGTAGCGAGCTGACGGTCTAAAAGTCTCATTATCTGCTGATGTAGACCTGACCAATTGTAAACTGTGTCAACAAAATTATTCGCACACCCTCCGTCACTATGTGATGGGGTGCGAAAAGATACGCGAATTTAGAGACAATTCTATAACCAATGTTCCAGCGATGTGTCAATATTTCATTCAAAATGATCTGCTACCAGAAATTTTAGCCAAATATCCCCAGTTTGCTAACTGTAGGTAATAACTAAGTGATTGTAACCTATCCACCGCTGCCCACTGGATGGGGGGCGGTGTGCAGGACAAACATAAATTTTGACACTAGCTCTCCACATATGTCAGTTGCTTAATTTAGAACCTGTACTTGAGGTCGATCTCGAACCCATTGTTGATGTGATGACTTATATTGAATTTTGTAACTAGCTCATCAAGATTGTAACTTGCTTAGCTAAATGAATTGTGGGGTTCAGTCCCTGAGCCCATTATGTGCCTCTGTAACCCTTTCCACTACCGCCCACAAGATGGGTATGGGGTGCATAATAAATGAACTAAACTAACTGACGGTCTAAAAGTAGCGAGCTGACGATCTAAAAGTAGCGAGCTGACGGTCTAAAAGTAGCGAGCTGACGGTCTAAAAGCGAGCTGACGGTCTAAAAGCGAGCTGACGGTCTAAAAGTAGCGAGCTGACGGTCTAAAAGTAGCGAGCTGACGGTCTAAAAGTAACGAGCTGACTGTCTAAAAGTAGCGAGCTGACGGTCTAAAAGTAGCGAGCTGACGGTCTAAAAGTAGCAAATTTGCAATAAGAGTAGCCCATTTTTTTTTTTTTTTTTTTTTTTTTTTTTTAGTAAAATCGAATCAAATCAAATGTTTATTCAGGTAAAAGTACATACATACAAGATGAGGTATTAACTGTAAAGAATCTTTCCCATCATTTATCAATTTGTAAATTTCTAAATAACTTTCTTTTCTTAATGAAGATCTGTGGAACCAGCTGTAGATAAGAGTTACATGATAATCGATGTTGGAAGGCAATTCGTCACATGCATTAGAACAGGCCAAGTGCAAGGAATGACATGTGCACTTGATAAGAAACATATTAGGGATATCCTTCTTCATCAAGGTGTAAAGTGAATGATGAGTTCCACACAGATTTGATGCCCCGCCCATACCAATTGCAAAACATTGCTTTAAATCAACTCCAATATTGCCAAAATAATTTTTGAGGTGTTGGTACAAGGCTTCAGAGGTTGTACTTGTGACTGAAATTAATCCCACAAACTGAGATGAAATCCTATTTTGTCTCATTATAATATCGAACACAGACACACAAATGTTTTTCACACGCAATATCAGTCGACTCATCTATAATGAGAGAGAATGATGTCTTCTTCAGATCAATAATTTGTTCATTAAACAGGGCTGGTGAGATGACTTTATTGATGAGAGCACTACACTTTGTTCTGTGTAACCGCAAATTAAAGGAGCTCGGGTCAGACGTTGACGGCATATCTGCTTTCAAAAGTTCACTAAAGTGATCAATGGCCTTAATAGAAGAATGACATGCAATATATATATTATATACAGACAGACGACATTCAAATTTAGTAAGTTTATCTTCCTACTTTGATAGAACAGACTTGATGCTCATCTGCTGATGACTTACCTCCGATATATTTTGTCTGTGTTTTAATGTTTCACTGTGTTTCTTTAAATCACTTCTATGAGCTCTTATCTCAGTTCTACAAACTTTACAATATGCCTTATTTCCATCTTCTTTCACTTTAGCCAACCACTTTCCAAACACAGGATCCTTAAGCCAGGACATATGAAACGCTTTCTGGTATTTAGACCACTTCCCCATTTTACACTTCTTTCTTAACACTTAATTAAGCAAATTCTAAAAGTAACACCGGTGACTTCTTTTCTATATGCGGTAACTTGTGTCGAACTATCCTTCTGGAAGTCAGAGCCACACTAACAGTGAAAGCACAGATGAAGCTGCCAAGTTCACTGTATGCTAATCCGCTCTAAAGACAGTCATTTGATTACTATTGCTTTTTTCGACGGCGCCTCGTAGGCCCGGGGTTTTTTCGTTACATTTGACCACGGCCCCTCGTAGGCCCGGGTGTTTTTCGTTACATTTGGTCACGGCTCCTCGTAGGTTTTTTCGTTACGTTTGGCCAAGGCCCCTCGTAGTCCCCGTCATGTTCCATTACCCCAGCGTGTATTCGCCTTATAGTTCATGAGAATTTTCGCTCAAAGGGATTAAAAGGCCCCTCGTAGTCCCCGTCATTTTCCGTTACCCCGCTGCCCCTTGCACAGACATCGCTATTGGTCAATGACGTCACCAGCCAGCCCCTCCGCGTTCCTGCACAGGTACGTTCAAGGGATTAAAAAGCCGGTCTATGAGTCGTGTGTTTTGCGTTACAACAGTGACCCTGAAACCTAATGTATAATACCATCATCCCTAATCTATTTTAAATTTCTTATTTACTTCCAACCGTCGTCCATTGCAAAAGGGGAAGCAACACATCATGAACTATCATGTATCTCAGCATTCTCCCCTTGTTACCGAACCAGTATTTTCCAGGATTTTTTCCCAAATCTTTAACTTATCCAATGCTACACCCCCTCTACTTCAAGTCCCTCAAGGGGCGCACAGATTCAATGAGTACAAATAGACAAATAACATTACAAGAATCCCATTTCACATTGCAGGTTAATATAGTAAGTATAACATATAATTGTTACACTCTTGGGGCAAAATTCTTGTAGCTCCTAAGTATACTGTCTATCATACCATTATCACACATACAAACAATTTGATGTGGTACACTACTTATTTCCTTATTTCTATAGTTATAAGTTGACACTCTAATACATAATGTTCTAAGGTGTGGGCGTGCGGCATACTACATAATTTACACTCCTTATTCAAGTTCAAGTATGTTTATTAAGACAAGAAAAAATATACATCTCAAAGGGGTAGAGTAGCTTAGGCTATTTCTAACCCCCCCTCTATTTCAAGTCCCTCAAGGGGCGCACAATTCAGTGAGTACAGATATCATATCTATTTTCTTTTTTATTTCTCTATACTGTTTTACTTTAACCTTTGTTTCAACATTTGTCACTACAGAAGGTTGAACACCGCTAACACTACTAGAAAGTTAATTTTCCTGACTATCCTCTATCATCAATACGTCATGTTCTTCCTTACTTTCTTCAACGCACGTTTCACTTTCCATTTCACGTCCTGTTTCACTTTCCATTTCACGTCCTGTTTCACTTTCCATTTCACGTCCTGTTTCACTTTCTATTTCACGTCCTGTTTCACTTTCCATTTCACGTCCTGTTTCACTTTCCAGTTCACGTCCTGTTTCATTTTCCATTTCACGTCCTGTTTCACTTTCCATTTCACGTCCTGTTTCACCTCGTCTACCCTCCATAACTAATTTTTCTAATGCCTCAATCCTCTTGTCTAGTTTTTTTTTTTTTAGATATTCCAATATTTGAGTACCAACCTCAGAGTTCCCTATATCGTCCTGAACCTTGTTTCCACAAGGTTTAATTTTTCAGCTGCATTTCCTACTTTCCCTAGGCTCGCCTTAAGTGTCTCCGTTCCTTTCTCCTACACATTGTTCACAGGCGCTGCTATTGGCTTCCAGCTGTTTCCTCTATGTTCCTGCTGCACAATCTTCCCTTCCTTCGAGGATACATCTATCCTGCTTGTAGCACCCGTCCTAGATTCTCAGATGAGACTTCATGCGGCATAGATAGGAACCAGCATTGTGGCTGCCTCGACAATTGTAACAA